AAATCATAAGCAAAGCTCACCACACTTTATCATGCATCAGCAGATGCATGACAAATAGATCGAAGGAGGTGATACTTCCCCTCTATGTGGCACCAGTCAGACCGCGGTTGGAGTACTGCATCCAGTTTTGGGTGCCATACTTCAAGAAGGATGTTGATAGACTCAAGAGGGTCCAGAGGAGGGCCACTCGTATGGTTAGGGGTTTATAGGACAAGTCTTATGAGGAGAGATTGAGGGCGGCTGAGAGGTGATCTCGTGGCCACCTACACATTCATTAGGGGGATGCAGCAAGGGATCGGAGATGCTCTGTTCACCAGGGCGCCTCTTGGGGTAACAAGGAACAATGGTCACAAACTGACAGAGAGCAGCTTTAGGTTAGATATCAGGAAAAACTTCTTCACGGTAAGGGTGGCCAAAATTTGGAATGGGTTTCCAAGGAAGGTGCTCTCCCCTACCTTGGGGGTCTTTAAGAGAAGGCTGGATAGGCATCTGGCTGGGGTCGTCTGACCCCAGCACTCTTTCCTGTCTAGGCAGGGGGCTGGACTCGGTATCTGTTGAGGTCCCTTCCAACCCTAACATCTATGGATAGATGGCATTTAGTGTCTGAGCATTGGTTGGTCAGGTTGTTTCTCATCTTACCTCAGCAAGGCCTTGGTAAGCTGTTCCTTCCAAGTCAAGGTATCAAGGAGTATCATACCTCTCTGGACCTTTTTGTGATGCACCTACTAATGCATGACAGAGCACGGTTAGCTCTGCCAATTACTTCATCTTGGAGTCAACAGTGACTCTGAGATCTGTGTAATCATCTATGGCAGAGCTGTTCAAATTGTTTATGAGAATAGGATGGGATACCGTGTTGAAGTCCAAGTAGATGACATCTACCTCAACTCCTACGTCTAAGCATTTAGTAACCTGGTCATAGAAAGAAACAAGGCTAGTCAGGCAGGATCTACCTGCTATGAACCTGTGCTGGTTGCCCTTCAGCATATTACCAGCACTCCTACAAATGTGACCCTTGACAATTTTTTTTAAGGGTTTTCCCAAGGATAGAGGTAAGACTAACTGGTCTATAGTTACCCAGATCCTCCTTCCTCCCCTTCTTGAAAATAGGTACCACCGTTGGGCCTTTTCCAGTCCTCTGGGACCTCACCTGAGCACAACGAGTTCTCAAACAGTCATGCCAGTGGTTCTGCTATGACACTGGCTAATTCTTTTAGGACCCTTGGATGAAGCTCATCCGGTCCTGCTGACCTGTGTCTCTTTACAAGATTGGTGCTGACAGTTGGTGGACTGGTGTTCCTCCTGCTTCTGTAAATAATGCATTTGGGAGATTTAGCCATGATCAGGAATAGAGGCAAAAAAACTCATTGAAGAACTCTGCTTTGTCCCTCATATCTGTCACCAACTGTCTTTGTCTAGCCTGTAGGGGTCCTATGCTGTCCTGCACCTTCTTTTTGCTCCCTATATACCTGAAGGACTTTTTGTTGTCCTTAATTTTTGTTGCCAGCCTAAGTTCTAATGCTGCTTTGGCCTTCCTGATTCCCTGCAAGTGCGAGCCAAGGAGGTATACTCCTCCTTGGTAGCTACCGCCTGCTTCCACAGCCTGTATGCCCCTTTTTTTTTTCCTGGATTTCCCTGTTTAGCCAAGAGGGCTTCTTGGCCCCTTTGCCCCCTTTTCTATTTAGTGGGATTGCCTCCTTCTGTGTCCAAAGGATTGCTTCCTCGAGGAACGACCACCCTTCCTGGACTCCCCCATTTTCTCAATGCTCTTGAGCTTTAATGCCCCACTAACTAATCTCCTAATCACACTGAAGTCAGCCTTTCTGAAGTCTAGTACTTCTGCCCTGCTGGTTACTTTTCCCATTCTTTGCCAGATAGTGAATTCAGTCAATTGATGGTAAATATCCCCTAGGTTACCTTGTATCTGCAGATCCCCCACCAGCTTGTCCCCCGTAGCCAGCACCAAGTCCAGCAGGTCGTTCCCCTAGTGGGATCATACACCTCCTGTGTTAAGTGGAGGTCCTGTAGGCAGGTTAAGAACCTACGTGAATGGTTAGTTCTGGCTGACTGATCCTCCCAGCAGATGTAAGGGTAGTTTGGGTCACCCATGACAACTGTATCTCTTGGCCTCTGAGAGCTGCCCAGAGAACATGTTATATGCTTACAGTATGTTTGCTAAAGTGTAAAGCTTTAGCCATTTCAAGGGGCAGAGTCGACATGCTAAATCCTCACATTTCTGCTTGCTCAGTATTTAGCAAGGAAGATTGTGGTAGTTGTTCAGTTTAGGCACCTTATTGGCCACTAGAGAGCATAGTTTTCAGCCACATCTAGCCACCCAACCACTAGGAACAGTGTTGTCACATAAATATCTGTATCCAAGACAGCTGCATTGCAAATGCATGGAACATGCATGAAAAACTTTGGGAGATGAAGCTGAAAATTCTAGGAAGAATCTGCCACTCTGAACAAATCCAAGCCTATAGTTATATTAATGGACAAACCATTATAATGAGAAATTTTCCAAAACCAAATTTTCTCCACTACTCTACAAGTAGGTTATGTGCAGGGAAAAAAACTCTGAATAGACGCATCCCTCTGATGTGAACAATGGAGTGGTACAGTAATCCCAGTGGAAAAGTATACTTTTGCTCCAAGTCTAGAGCATTTACTCTGTTAATTAAAAATGGTCACGTAAACCAATTAAGTTGTACTTAGCAAATAAAGCTGCTTTTTAAGAAAGCAAGATGAAGACTATAAACTTATCTTGACATCTATGAAAGGTGAGTTTGAAAAGTTGCTAAAACTAGAGGTCACAGTTCAGTTTATCATGCAACCACAGATATTCCCAGAAATACTTTTAAGGCACAGGAAATGGCATGACATTTGTAAGCCTGCACATATCAACTATGAATTCTGAAGAGTTTAAAGTATCAATGATTAGGTCCTCAAATGCTGTCAGTTGGCACAGTTCCATAAATAGTCTTTTTTCTGTTTGTCCAGTGCCTGGTACAATGGGATCAGGCTTCGTGGGTGAGATTTCAGGGTACTGCCATAGTGCTAATACCCAAGACATCTGTGGACCTAAACCTGCTGTGGGTTTGGCATTAGGTTTTTTGTAAGCTTTGTCTATTCTTTGTTTGCCATTAGAGTCAACATACAGGATGGAATGAGAAGCACACAATTTTTTTCAGACTTAGACATGCGGAGCTAACCCTAGTCTGATGTCTCTGTGTTATTACCCCTCGGTACAATACACCACAATAATACACACACATTAGACACCACGACTGAGGAGGAAGAGTTTGGCTAGGGACACACAAACAAGCTACTACAAAGTATACTAAAGTGTGAATTTACAGCACCTGAGCTACTCTGTGGCAACTGTCCACGTGCACCTTCTTAAGTTACCTGGACACACTCGAAGCAATTTCACATCCTACTTTACCTAAAAATAAACCTGTTAATGTGCCCTTGCTTTTTGTTTTTCCAAGGCAATTTTGGAAGTGTAGACAGCTTATAGTAGATAATTGAAGGCTTCTTTTCTATGTTATTTTTTCTTCCTTTTATTATTTTTAGCTACAGGCAGAAAGTCAAACTAGAGTGTTAGTTTTACAGCAAACTACAAACTATAGTAATTTATCTGAAAGCAAGAAAAAGGCAAGAGCTGGCAGCTGCAGTATAAGTATAAATTCAACATTATATAGAGTATTTCACAACTTCTTTACACAAAAAATGGAACTTTTTCCAGTACATACCCACACTCAAATTTAACTGCTTATACAAGGACAATTTAGCTAGTGGTATGTAGCCAAGTGAAGTGTGAGATTTACTTTATGGACTAAACAGTATATGAAATATGGGTGCAGCAAGTCAAAAATCAATACAGAGCTACTTTTTAATGCATCATGGCTTCAGACCAAAAACAATTGCTTTTTTCTCCATGAGCAGAGCAAGTTTAGAAAGAGATAATTCTTCCAAATTCTTTCCATTTCTCCATGACCAAATCCCATACAAATGGAATCCTACATGCTGCATGTACATGATATGAGATTTTGTAATACTAACCATTTTGAGTCAAAACTTGAAAAAATACAACACATCCTGTAATCCCTACAGTGCTTGGTGTTTTGGTCTGCTACCCAAAAAAGATTAAGGCACTTACCAACATGATCCCAGTCCATCATCCAAATTCAACTTAAAATAGGTAGAAGGTTAAGAGCAGAGAAACAAAACCTTAAGATGGTGGGTACATATACCTGGAAGCTGGATGTAAACAAGTAAAGTTTTGGTGTCAACAGAACTGAATGCATTTCCACTACATGAGAATCAGGCCTGAGAAACTTCAATAATACTACAAATAGGAGGGGGACATCAACAAATACTTATTTCCAGTTAAAGCCAAAGATTGCTTTGAAGATTATGAAATTCTAAGAAAGCAGTTGCTTAGATAGGCAGGTACTTCTAGCTACATTTGACAGATGAGGAAATAGAGATGCAAAATACTAATGCCAGTGTATAAATCAATTTTTAGAAAAGGAATAGTGTGCTTAAGTCAATTTAGTCCCACAGACTTCAACAGGACTTGCATACAGTCCCACAGACTTCAATAGGGCTTGTGTACATGTTTGTACTTTACTGAATTGGGGACTTAAGTACATTATCTAAGGTTACATAGGAAGTCCCTGGCAAAGAAAATGTTACAAAGACTGGTGCTGTTAGCGTCCTGTGCTCTTCCTGTTAAACCATGCTTTCTCCCTAGAGAAAGCCACACTCAAAATGTTATAACCAGAAAGTCACCATGTGTTTCCAGTCATCCATCTTGTGAAGACTACAGTTTAATTAGCTTTCTGTTGCCAGCCTGGTGTTGGATCCTCTCCTGTTCTTAAACTCAAGAGAGAAAATGTTCTTGCACTTCGAATTTTTCATGGGTGGTCCCCTGGTCACAGTAGAATTGTTGCAGAATTTCTAGGTGTAGTGGACAAACCATTTCAGAGCTATGGCACAAGAATTCCCAGTTAAAGTTAAACATACAAACTTACTGTGTGTAGGTATGGAAAATTCCCCAGAGAAGGCAGTGCAAACAACTTCAACTTTCTTTCCCTCAGTCTACATCTAGGTGAAGCACTGTTCAGCAACTACCTTAACCAAAAAAGGCAAAACTGGAGGGAGATGTGGATTAAAGCCAGGATTCAGGCCTGTGTATTTTGTACAGCACCAAACTCACAGGCGGAATACGTGGTCCTTCCCCTAGGGAGCTAAAGGTCCAATTATACTGAAAATAATCTGCCCCATGCAGAGATCAGAGATGTTTTCCTACATTGCATAGGCTGCTGGTCTGCCAGTTATTGGTTTCTGGGTTATCAAAGGAAAGTATTGTTTTCATCTTCAACAAGACTTTAAAAAGTAACATGGATATCAAAGTTAACTAGCTAAGTCATTTTATAGATAAAGAAGCTGAAACATGGAGCACAAGGTTCATTCAACCAGATATTTATCCTCTCATAACAACAGGTCCTATGTGGCTGTATGTCTGGGACAAGATATCCCTGTATCCACGCTATTGAACCCTGATCTTTTAGCAGGGTGTTTCCAGCTATGTGGGTAGTATCAAAACTGTACTTGGCCAATTATACCACAGTCTCTGGACACATACTTCTGTTTGTATAAATTACACTTTAGCAGCTGGCCCCCCTTTCAGATCCAGGAGTTGCAAGAACAGAACATAAAAAAGTTTAAATCCTAGACCACACCTTTCTTTAATAGTTACACTTGTCTTTAGTTCTGTTTTGCTCCAGATACCATAGCAAGGACCTAAGAAGTTGAGCAGTGTAAAAATAAGAGGTCCAATATAATTAAAAGTTCTTGGTAACTTAAAGACAAATGGATACATAGCTGAGTATTTTGTTTTTAAAGTATCTGTTCACTCTAAACAGGTTACTTTTTTTTGGTTCAAGATTTATCTTTAAAACTTACACTGTAGATTTTGCCGTATCTACTTTTTACGTTACTGCAAGCAAATATATATGAGGAAACAATGTTTGGAAACTTTGGCTTCTCCCAAAAAAGGTTATTTGAGAAGAATACACTGTCCTCTTTAAAATGCTAGCTCCTGAAACATTTTAAATACCATTTTATAACAGCATATGCTGCAGAAACCTTACTTCTCTCCTCAGCAAGTGACGATTTGTAATGCAGATGGTGAATTCAATAGTGCTCTCTCATTTACATGTTCAGAAACTTATATTTGTTTAGATTGGAAAATAATGGTCCAAGAAAGTTCATTTCTGCCTTAATCATCTGAAAAACTTCTTTCTTTTCTTTCTCCACTGTTTACTGTCCTTGTCTTCAGTATCATCAGGAGGGCCTGGCATTATGAAACCATCAGTCAGTTTATAATACACTATTGTGGAATCTGATTCAACTATGGCCAGGATGACAGACAGTGGTGAATCTGGTTTATCTAGCTGAACACATGTTTTCTTCATGATCTCTCTTATCCTGACAGAAGAGAAAGAGAAAAAAAGAGAGTCAAGGAGCAATCTAGTCATACATTTAAAAACAGCAAAGCCAAAAGGTGTAACACCACCTCTTTCTCAGGGCTTATGTAACAGCAAATCATAAGATGTTTTAGCTTACTGACACTCTTATGTTAATAATCATTGGCTCCTACACGTGGGGAGCCTGCTCTGACGTGCTGAAAATCCAGTGCATCAGAGCACTCAATTAATCAAGTCTGTTGGAGCATAGAAATTGATGCGCTCCAGCAGCCCTGTGTCATGTGCATCAGCATCATCTTGCATCTTCACGCTGAAAAACTGGCAGCGGGGTGCTCTGAACTAAAACACATCCAATGAGCTTTAGTTCAAAGTGCTCCATTGTCATTTTTACAGTATGGGGATGCACAGTGATGCTGATACATGTGATGTGTAGGTACTTTTAATTAGTACAGCTCGCTAATTAAAGCACCTGGCACCGCATCCAGAAGCATGTGTAAAAATGCCCTATATTTCTGGAGTTAAAAGAAATTCATTTCCTTTCTTAAATGCTAGAGACAAATTAGAAGATGTTAAATTTTAGCTAAAAATTCTCCAATTGCATAGACTGCTGCAGGGAATGGATTCATTTAGACATGTCCAGTTACACCACCCAAGGATATATCAGTTGATTACATTCCTATCTTAATCATCTCTACTTCTAGAGGTGCTGATACATTTGTCCCATACTGAATCAGCACTAATATAAGGAAAATTGACTGTATCAGCAATCAGCTTTTTTTGGCTGATGTGACCAATAATGCCACCGATAAATGCCCTGTGCATGTGTGCAGCTGCAGCGCAGCATACAGCTGGCCAGGAGCACAGCCCGGCAGCATGGAGAGCAGCCAGGTCTAGCTGGTAAGTCTGTTGTGTTGTGAAGGAAGGAGCGTTGGGGGGGGGAGGGAGGCAATGACAAATGGAGGCTCCAGCGTGAGAGAGGGAGTGAGGCTGGGGCTGAGGGAGGTGCTGCCCAGCCAGGGCGGAGCGGGGCACAACTCCCCCCACTGCACATGCCCCAGGGCAGGGGGGGCATGTGCCACGCAGATCTGCATGCGGGGTGAGGGCAGGCGGCTACTGTGGGCTGGGATGGCATCAGGCTCTCCTGGCAGGAGTTGGGTCAAGCAGCGGCAGCACTGGGATGGGGCTATGGGGGGAAGGGGAGGGGAGGAGCCCTGCAGCCACCCCAAAATTCACTGTAGCTCCCCACTCAGCACAGCCGCTGCCCACCCTGAGTGCACTTGAGCAAACAGAAGTTAATGAAGGCGCTTACCTTTGGAGCACCTTCATCTGAACTCTCATATAGCGAGGGTTAATTTGTCATGTGATTGGGGACTTCTAAAGCTCTCTGTAACTGTGCACTTCTGTCAGGGCATGACTGCAGAGCACTTTCACGGGGCCGATCGTGCGACAACTATAACTTCTGTCTGCACTCCTAATTCCTCTATTAACAGGGCCTGCTTCAAAATGAGGTGTCTCTTAAGAGGCTTGCATACCACAAAACTAGAGTCACAATGGCACCCTCTAGTGACAGCATTCAATATTTAATATAGTCAAAAACCATAAATTATGATTACTATTTTGGACAGCAGTATGGCATTGTTGTAATAAGTGCCACTTTTAAATAGATTAGTGAATGCAATCTTTTAAACTGAAGCATATGTTTATGATAGCAGAATGACATCATTTCTCTTTGCCATGTCAAAAATGGAACTGTACAGTACAATATATAATTAACTCAGTGCCTCGGGCTCCAGAACAGCCCTGTTCATCCAGAGGTTCAGGCTGGCTAGAAAGTTCAGGGACAGATATCCTACACATGCCACCTTCAAGGGATTCATGCCAACAACTGCTTACTAAAACTGAAAGGCAGCTACATCCCCAAGAGAGCCTAGAGAACAATCAAGTATTTGTGCTGCTGGGAGCACAGTGGGAAGTCTGCTGAGCTAAAATATTCTGCAAGCATTTTCCCCCATTTTCTGAAGAAAAGTCACTGAATGTTAAAAAACAGAAGCAGCTGAGGTTTTGGGTTTCACCAGAAACAGATCTTGATCTTCAACAGAGGCATTGGGGCACAAAAATGCAGGGACAGGTAAGCTAGGGGGAATTGAGCTCTGAAGGAAGTGAGAAAATAAGAGAAACTCATTTTTCTGAATTATCAGAATATTCCCAGAGCAAGTGGCATTTTACCTTTTTCTAATTAAAAAAAATCCTCTGGATTTGTAAACAAAACCCTACCAACCAACAGGCCGTCCACCTTGCAGGAGGTGAAATGGATTTCATCAATAAGGCATTCATCATGGCAAATCCCAAAGAGATGTAATCTTCTTGAAGCTCATGAAAGAGGCATTGCTGTACAAATCTATAATCTGTAACAGTTGGCCTTTCTGAAGCCCTTTCCAGCACAAGATCTTAAAGGGCTTTATAAATAATGAATTAAGACTAATAACTGCAAAGTAGGTATTCTAGCCATTTTACAGAAGAGTCAACTGAAGCGGTGAAATTACTTAGCTTAACTGTCAAATGGGATATCTGTAGCCAAGGCAGAAGCGCTACCCAGAACTGTGAAAGAGGCTAAACACAAGTCAAGGGCTTATTAGGCAGGATATTTTAAGTAGAAACTGGAAAGTGCTAGTATTACTGTACAAAGGCATTAGTAAGGCCCAATTTAGAATACCGTATACCACTCTGGTCACTTGTAATTACAAAGAAGAGGAAGAATTTAAACTGGAATAGGTACAAAAAGGGTTGTTAGAGAAGCAGAGAATCTGTCTTACAAAAAGAAAAAGGAAATCTGGCTTGTTTAACTTAGGAAAACAAAGATTGCGAGGGTAGGATTATTTTTTTAGAAATACGGTTACAAGGTGTATATACCAGGAAGGGAGAAGAGCTATTAACCTACAAGAAAAAGAAAACAAGACCTAATAGCTACATACTGGTCACAAAGAGTGAAACTGGAAGTTAGAAGGTGGTTTCTAATAAGCAAAACGAGTTAACTTGTGAACAGAAATGTGGTGGCAAGGACCCCAAACTGTTTCAAGATGGAGCCTGACATGTTTATGGAAGGGATAGAATAATATGATTACGGTATTCTTAGAACAAGGACAGTGACCACGTCTACACAAGATGCTGACTGTGCAGTTGTTACTGTACAGTCATTTAGTACTTTTATATACAAGTACTAAATGACTGTGTAGTAACTGGAGTTACTGCACAGTAGCATTGCCAAACAGCTTTAGGTGATGCTGACTGTGCAGTAGCTCGTTACTACTGTGCAGCAGCGTCGTGTCCTGCTTCGTGCTACATGATGCTACTGCACAGTCAACTTCTTGTGTAGACATGGCCAGCAGGCTCCTAAAAAGCACTTAGAAACCACTCAGGGTCCTGGCTGAAGGGTCTTGCTCACGTACTCAAGGGAAAACTGACTACCACACTTGGGGGAGAAGGAATTCTTCCCTCACATAAAGTCAGCCACATAAATATACTCCAAGAGATCTTTGCCATTCCTGGTATTGCAGGGCATGGCCTTTTATTACATTAAAATACATTCAAATAGCCCTAACAAATTCCTTGCCATTGCAATGATCAAGGCCTTGACAGCTCCCTTGTTCCCCACTTTTGACCTGTTGCACACACCTGGCTTTTTTTCTTCCCTTAGGATACTTTATGGCTGTGATGCAGGAATGGACAGAGTGGCTGATCTTGTGGAGCACTTTGGATAATTAGTTGCCTGCAAATGAAGAGGCAGTTTCCATCCAGTCCTATGTCTCTTTTTTGATTTCCACTCTCACTGAGCCATATCCTTACTGAGCAATTTACCCAAAGCAACCACTCTGGCTGCAACCCCATCCTTCATGCATAGTTACTGCTGTGAAGCAAAGAGGGGAAAAAAGGGTATTAACATTCCTGTAAAGTTTACTGGTGTTAAAAGTGGCAGCTAAAAATCACCGTCAAGATTAGAGGAAAACATTTCCACAATTTAGTTTCTGTATGTGACAGCAGTTTTTATTTGGGGAAAACAGTGACAGAAGGTACAAGCCATCACTTTCACGTGTTACAAGTCTTTTACAGGATAGGCAAAGGTGGCAGTGAAGTCGAGTACTAGTGGGAAATTCATGTCATTCACTCAGTAGCATAACTGAAGGGGGGCAATTTGGGCAGCAGCCCTGGGCACTGCCTTTGTAGGGGGGCCTCAAAAGCAGCCATTGCTGCAGCAAAACTTGACTGTACCAGAGAATTCAGCAGAGCAGGAACCAGCACTGCCCTGGGCATGGGGCTGTGCTGCTATGCCTCTGCATTCACTCATGGCAAATACAAGTTGCCAGTACTAATCGCTTTATTTTAATGAACTTCTTGAAGGCTCTCGGGTACCACAATGAGAGGTATGATCCTGAAAAGCAAGGGCAGGGTCTAGAACCAATTTTAAAGTGAACTAGATTTCAAGTCAATACATCCATCCAAAGGGGGAGAAGGGTTCTTCTTGGAGTGGGATAGGAAAACATGGTGGAAAGAAGCAGTTCAATAAAAGCAGATGGACTCCAGACATCTTTAAAAAAATGCACTGGTTTCCTGCCCAAACCATATTTAGTTAAGTTTTCAAAAGAACAAACTGGCCAAGCAGGAATCAGAATATGGGCAGTGACTGTAACAAGACAGAAAGAGGAAGACAAAACAACTTATTGTAGTGAAATTCCCTGTGCAACAGCCTCTGATAAACAGAGGAAATACTGAATGGTCTAAGCAGTTCATATGTTGAAAGATAGAGTGCTTCATTTAGCCAAAATGAGCTATTACCTTTCTTAACAAGGAAGCTGAAGGCTTTGAATCTGTCTTTTACAGCTAGATGAAAATTCATCAAAAGCTTGACCAGACTGAACAGTTCCCTCCTCTTCATGCATGAGAAGATGCAATTCAAGGCTGGTGATTTAATGGAAGTTGGTTTCTGTACACGCATGAATTAGTGCT